TGGTGATTATGGCTACAGAACAAATGTAATGGCGGTAAACCCAGATGGAGTAGAAATAATATAATAAACAACTGGAAGAGGAAAGAAAAAGACGGTGAGAGGTAATGTAAATATGTTGATTTTTTAACATTTACTAGCTGAGATCAAAGCATATCACCAAAAGCAGACAACTCTGGCAATCAGGGTCTAAGCATACCAAGTAGTACAAAGATAGAGAGAAAGAAACATAATTCAATTAACTAAAACTGGGTGGAGGAAAGGAAGAATGGAAGAAAAAGAAAAATGTATAAACATTGAATCTTATAATATCAAGAAAAATGGAAGGGAACCCTTAATATGCACACATAGGGTCTGATTAACTAAGGCATATTTATGCAATAAAACACTATACAGCAATAAACTATAGTGCAATTTTTTTATGTGGTGATGTCAAAAGATTCTGTGTGAGAACATACATTAGATGTACATATATAGAATCTCTGGAGTAAGGCGTATGGAATTGATGGTGACATTGCCCCTGGTGGGGGAGAACTGGGTGGTGGTGATAGACAGGTGATGGAAATTTTTAAGGTATACCCTTATCTTTTTAACAAATAGGATGTTGCTTGTTTTTTTTTATATGTTAAATTTAAATTCACAATGAAATGTAAAGGATTTCTTGACTGTCTTTGCTCAACCTTGTGGATATCATGTTAAATAAGATGCTTCATGGAGCTTCTTAACTCCACATACATTTCTCTTTGTTCTAATCCCCAGAGGACTGAGAAAAACACATAGGAGCCAAGTGGCAAGGCAGAATAGGCAGAGAGAAGACTGGTGTGAGCAACACCCTATCACTTTCTTTACCTGAACACGCTCTCCCCTAGTTGAGACAGGTGAGACAGGCGCAAAATCCATCATACTACCCAATTTAAAGGCCTAGATATCTATTTACAAATCCACAACTGGTCCTTGTGAGATGCAAACATTTATCCAGAGGGGGGCTGTGTGACGGTTATTGGAAGTGCTTATTTGTGGTGTAAACTGGAACCTTCAAACTACCTTTCCTTCCTACAAAATCATCCCATATCCAGAGATATCCAAGGGCAAAGAACAAAAGAATGCTGATGGCGAGGCTAGATTTAATGGAGATGTTGCCAGGGCTTAAAGAAATAAGACTGAATAAACCAGAAGAACCAATTTGAACCACCCACTGCCAGAGGAGAGAGGGAAGAAGAAAATATAAAAGTAAAATGAAAGAAATGAAAGGGTCTCTGGGGAAAGTTCTAGGAAAAGAGGACATGTGCAATGATGGAGCTTAATACCTTGTCCTTTACCCCCTTCCATCCTCTTTAAGAGTAATAGAGAGAGGGCCTCCTCTGGTGGCTCAGCGGTTGAGCGCTGGGCTGCAAGGCTGCCCGCAGCGTCTGCAGGGCCAGTTCATTCCCTGGCCGCCAGCGAGGGTCCCACCAAAAAAAAAAAAAAAAAAAAAGAGTAATAGAGAGAGACACTTGAACCTTCCCCCCTTCCCCATTTCACTGCTGTTTTAGAAGCAGCAGAAATCACACACATGTCCAGTGTGTTTGCACTGGGGGTAAGGGCAGTGGATATAAATTAGCATAGCATTCTAGGAGACAGTGGAGAACATGCCATTCACAAAAGTAACAAACACTAACAAACCCGGAGGAATAATCCTAAAAGAAATGTGAAAGATCATTACCAAGAAGACATCAGGAAGTGACTAAAAGAATCTAAATCAATAAATGTGTCAAATTGGGAAAATTGTAAAGATGTCAACCTTTGCCAATTAATTATAAACAATACTATACTCAACTAAAATATTCTACATTAAATGATACTGTGTAATTATACATTTAGAGCAATCTATGTAAGGTACAATGTCTACATCAAGTCCAATGTATAGACACATAAACATACACATAAACAAGTAGGATAACAAAGGAGCTAATTCTAAAGAGGAAACTGTATAGAAGGAAATATAAGGAAAGTTTTAAAAATAACTTTGGGTTGTTAAAGACTTTGCTAAGTAAAATAAATATCTAAAAGTTCCACAAAAACAAAAAACAAAAAACAAACAAAAAAAAACAACGAAAGGGCCTCCCCTGGTGGTGCAGGCAGTTGAGTGCAGCACTGTGAAGCTGTCCACACCCTCTGCGGCGTGGGTTCGATTCCTGGCCCACCCTGCAAGAATCCCACACGGCACAGCAGACCTCTCCTGTCTCACCCACATTGTTCCCCTCAGCAGTGTATTTCAGTCAGTCTGCCTGTTCTGTTCCCCACTCTGTCTCTGGTGAATCTTCACACCCTTGCACACATCTGGCCTAAACCCTGGTTCTTACATGCATGAATAAATAAATCTTTAAAAAAAGTGGTAAATAATCCACCTTAAAAAACAAAACAAACAAACAAAAAAAAAAAAAACCAGGGCCTCTCCGGTGGCACAGCGGATTGAGCACAGTGCTGTGAAGCTGTCCGCAGCGGGTTTGATTCCCAGCCGGCAAGGAGATTCACACATGCCACCGCAGACCACTCCTGTCGTGCCTGCTGCTCCCCTCAGCAGTGTATTTCACTCGTCTGCCTGTTCTGCTCCCCATTCTGTCTCTGGTGGGGCCTCTCACCTTCCTACGCCTCTGGCCTGTACCCCAGCTCTTGTATAAAAATAAATTTAAAAAATCTTTAAAAAAGTTTTCTTTAAAAATAAAAATAAAAAAAAACCACAAAAACCAAAGACAACAAAGAACTTAAATTTCTGGTCAATCTATATTATAAAAAATTAATGGAAGGGCTGAAAAAACCATGGCAATGTAAGGGCTGAATATGTGAAAGGAGTCATTTTTCAAGATTGACTAGCGGCTATATAAGATGCCACCTAAGTTTATGAATGGAAAAGGATCACCACTTCACTGCTACAGATTCAGTAACTTTGTTGAGGAAAGAAACCAGTGTCCGAACACCTGGGTGCTAGAGTAGGCAGGGGAGGGCTCCTGTTCCCCAGGGGCAAGTAGGTGTCCTGGGCTGGCGCCTAGGCCAGAGCCCAGCTGACAACCATCAACACAACCCTGCCTGCCAACACACACACACACACACACACACACACACACACACACACTCAGCACCCTTGCCATAGGCCAGCCGGGGAAGTGAGCTGGGGGTCCTGAGTCACAGGTCCCTGGGAGAAAGGGGGGGCATCTCAGGAGGGACTTGAACACCAGCAAGTCCCAGAGGAGATATTTGCTTGGCTGGGGGCCCGAGGGTGCCAGAAGGTGCCACGCAGAAGCCTGAGGACAAGCGGGCAGTGGTGCGGGGTTAGCTGGCTGCCTATCCATTTGGGAAAGGGAGGCAAGTGGGATCAGCCCTCCCGAGTGCCAGTGTGGAGGGGAGCGAGAGTGTCAGGAGACAGATGGGGTGGGTGGGTAACAGACAAGGGGCTGTGTGCTCCCCTGAAGGACCTGGCTGGGCTGTGGGGCAGCTCAGCCCAGTCAATCAGTGGTCCCTAGAAGGGAGCCAGGAGCCAGCCCGCAGCTTGGCTGGGAGCTCTCAGCCAAGTGGTGCTGGGGCAGCTTAGAGTTGGCCTGGGTGACCCCCCCATGCCTGTCTGTGGGGGCACTTCAACAGAGGGACTGAGGTGGAAAGTGCTTGGAGGGTGGCACATAGGGTCCCCATGAAGATGGGGTGTTGGAGATCGGATGTACCAGCCGGGAGCGGGCTGCCTGCAACCTGGCCTGTGCTAATGTGGGAGCAAGGAGTTAAAGTCCAAAATCCCCACGAGGGGTGGCAGGCTAGGGAGGGCCCTGGGAGTCCACGTGGAAGCCAGTAGCTCCAGGCACAGACGCAGAGGCGAGCCCCAGACAAATGAGAAGCCAAAGCGGGGCCCTGGCTGGAGCTGGAGGGCATGTGTGGTGGCAGCCCCAGATTTGCACCAGACACCCCCGGGGCCAGGGTGGCCCAGTCACGCAGGGCAGCTGCTCACAGCACGTGGTGTGAAAGCTCGAGCTTTGACGACCTCCCCAGGGCCCCCTTCCAGGCAGGAGGACTCCCCAGAGTGGGTCCTGGAACTTGCCAGGTGCCCATGCCAGTCACTCTTCTGAAGCATGGGGCAGGCGCGCACCAGCAGGAAAGGTGTCCCTCTCCCTCCACTGCCCCGGCCCCAGCCCCAGGGAAAAGCGGTTAGCCCAAGGGACGCAGTCTTGTGGGCGGTGTTGACCAGGGCTTGAAGGAAGAGGCCCATTGCTGGACACCTGGAAAGCAGGCAGGGAGCCTGGCTGTGGGGACGCTGGGCCAAGGCTTCTGGGAGGGGCCTGTGTTGTGGGGGAGGGATGGTGAAATTGCCCAGATCCAGATCCAGGGCTGGTTCAGTGGACCCGGGATGGGCTGGCCTCTCTCATTGCACCAAGGGGTGGCAGCCAGGGCCTTGGACGAAGGGTGGAGGTGTGTCCGGGTGGACAGACCGGCCAAGGCCATGCCAAGGGCCCTCAGCCTCTGCCCTCCCACCCCACTGGGAGTGGATGGAGGATCCCAAGCTCCCTTTCCTGGATGTCTCTGAAGCTGCTGGGAGAGCGCAGAAAGGGGGTTCCTCCAGAGGAAACAGGGGCTGATCCTTCTCACCCTGCCCCAGTTTGGGCTTGGGATGCCAAGGAAGCGGTGCTGAAGGCAGGTGGAGTAGCTGCTTCCCAGGAGAGGGCACGTCGGCACTTTGGCCCTGGGCAAGTGGCAACCGGGATGGCACCATGGTGCACGTGCTCATGTGCACAGGTGGGTGTTGGTGGCCAGCAAGGATGTGCAGGCACGCCCAGGGACGCTGACCTTCTTCTCTGGGCTGGCCATCAAGGAGACACCTGCTCCCCGAGGGATTTCTGTGCAGTGGACTCTCAGTCTGTCAACCTTGCAGCGGAATTGCACCCTCCCGACTCCCACCCACCCTCACTGCCCTGCAGCAGCCCCGGCCTCCACCGCCTTCTTGCAGCTCATCCTGAACTCCACAGCCCACCCCCGGCCCACCTCCCGGGAGCGCTGAGCAGCAGGCCTTGTCAGGGCGCCCAGGTCCTGAGCATTCCTCATGTTCATCTCCCCTCCTCTCGGTGCAGGTGCGACGGCCAACTCAAGGACAGGAGCGCGCCTGGGTTATGCCAATCGAAACACACGACTTTATTGTTGCTACACACAGACGCAGGCTTGGGTGGGTGAGGCTGAGTGGGGACCACAGGCAGAAGGGGAGCGGCCTCATTTGATGAAGAGGTTCACCACCCGTGGGGTGGGCCGGGCCGGCCCGGGAGAAGGTGAGTGAGAGGAGTTCAGCCTGGGCAGAGACAAAGTACTGCAGGTCGGGCACAAGCTCCCACCTGGGTCTGGCCTCCACAAAGTGGCCCGGGTTCGACAGGGGCACCGGGTGCCCGGCCTCCCTGGTGACGCCCTGATAGGGAGTTCTCTGTGCTGGGCTGGCAGCTGAAAGGCTCCCTTCGCAGCCTCAGGGAGAAGGCTGCAGGGCAGTGACTTACAAAGCCCTTGGCCTGCACATGCCCCGCCCAAGCAGCCTCTCAGAGCTGGGGGGAACCCCGTGGCCAGGAAGGGGGGGGGGTCCTGCCTCCAGCAACTGTAGCTGCCACCCCAGGGTGCGGTGACTGGCTAAAGCCGGATCTTCAGGCACACCCACCGCAGAGTCTCTGGAGGAGAACACCAGCGGGGTTCACCAAGTGGGGCTGGGGTGCAGTCGGTCCCGTTCTGGGGGAGGCGGCCTCTTAAGAGACCAGGGTGTCTGGGAGCGGCTCTCTGTTTCCGGGCCTGACTAAGAGGGACATGAATGAGAGCAGCACCTGGGCACCCAGCAACTCCCCTGCCCAGCCCGGCTTTTCAAACAAACCCATCAAGGGTTTCCAAACCTGCGCCTCGGCACAGCCACTTCCCTGTGTTATCAGAGGAAACTTCAAGTCTGCAACGGGCTTGGCAAGCATGTCATTAATAACCGCCATGCCCATTAACAACTTTAATCCGGCCTGCTGCAGAAATGAGGTGCCGCAGAGTGACACAGTCTGCCGACACACTCCATGGATGGACATCTTAATCTGGCCCTGAACTTCAGCTCTCACGTTCCAGTTATCCGGGGTGCAGACCGCCTCCTCCTTAAGAGCAGGGTCGGGAGTGGGGATTGTGTTTCCAGCAGTGGAGAGTCTGGCCAAATGACTACTGATACTGCGGCTCAATGAACAACCCGCATGCTTGGGTTGAGCAAATGGCATTTTACCCTGAATGGAAGGACACTTGATAGTCCAAGAATACGAGTGACAGTTTTGCATTGTAAAATATCACCAGGAAAAGTCATCGATTTCTTTAGGCTATGGTGATTCTTATTTTTTGGGACCTTGTTCTTTTTCGGCTGCCCCGGGCACTTACTGCCCAAGATTGATGTACTCCCCACCCTGAGACTTTTTTTGTTCTTGTTTTTTTGTTCTTACACCAAAGACAGAGCCTTTACCTGTCTCCATGTCTGTCTGTAGTTCCCTATGCTTCGGGTCTTCTATGACATCCATGACAATTCACAGAAGTTTCTCACTCCGGAAACATTCATCTTGTTGTGATTTTCTGCGGAGGAGATTGTTAGATCTTCCTCTCTGCACACACGCTGCCTTAACTGTCATCTGTCGTGGACCTAAGAACAATGAAAATACATGGAGCTTTAATGGAATCTCTCCTGACAGACATCTCAACAGACAGAAGAGCAGGGTTTCTATTTCTTCATTTAAGATCTTAACATTCAGTTGTTTCTCCACTGGCATTTACCCCCCTTATCTAATCCCCAGGGATTCCTCAGAGGCATAGTGTTTGACTTTTCCAGTAGCAAAGTAAGAGGAAAAGGAACAAAGGCTGGGAAAGGGAGAAGCCGAGTTCTCTTCCTGACCTCGTATTCTGACTCCAACCTCCCTATCCCCACCCTTATCTCCAGGATATCACACTGTGGAGAGCAGTGTCCTTCCTCCCTTGCCTTGATTTATGTCTTCAGACAAACAAGAAAAGGTGAAGATTGGCAGTTGTACTGCCTGCCGCAGACGGAGAAATCTAGCTTTTAAATGTCCTCCGTTTAGGTATCAGACACACCCTCTACCTTGCCCTCCAGCCACTTGGATCTGGACCCAATTCCACAAATGCCCCCTTTTCCACTTCCCTGATCCCGGGTCACTCTCTTGACATCCCTCTGTCCCCTCAAATTCCCACTTTCATTCTCTACTCCTCATTTCTGCTCCATAGATATTGCAGCTTCTTCCCCAGAGCAAAAAAGGATTGCAATTCAACCATTCTTTTCTGAAGACCAGATAGGAGCGCCAAGACAGGTCCTGTTTTCACATTTGCTTCTACCACCCCCTTGTGACTGGTTCAGGCCCCACATTTCCTTGAAGGAATACTCGTGTCTCCGCCAAATATCCTGTAATTTTCTTCCTTTCCCTTTCCTTTGGGTTGTGTCGCCCCCTACATACGGAAGAGCAAGCCGACAGATGGATGTCAGTGAACATTTAGTGCTAGGCGGTGAGTCATAATTCCTACCTCTTACCAATTCAAGACTGGTCAAACAATTTTGACTTCTCACTCCTGCATCAGCTCTCCCTTTGACTTATACATCATTTAAAGAACTGACATTATCTGGTGGCTAGCATGGGGATATAGGGAAAACTGACTCCAAGCCTATCCTGACCCACCCACCTGCACACAACCAGAGCAGTTACATCCTTCTTCACTCAGCTACCATCAAGTCTGTCTGAGGTCAACAGGGAGCTGACAGCTGAACCCAACGGACCACTTCTCCACAGTTCTTAGTCACCTGAGATACATGTCATCAATGAGCCATGGTCCCCAAGTCCTCTCCCCACCAACAGTGCTACGAGAGTATACCTGCCTTCCTCCCTTCTCCCCAGCATACCAGACCTGTCACTTACTTTTTCTTTGCCAATACTAAACCCCCTCGCCCCCCAAAAAATGCACTTTCACTTCGCCTTTCTCTAATTTCCAGGGAAGGAATAGATCTTCTCTTCAAACAACCGTTTCTATTTCTTTGTTTTTTCCTGGAATACTGGACAATAGCCCATATCTTCATTGCCCCTCCTCTCAGCCACTAATATCCACCATCTTTTGTGAACCCATGAGAGGAGAAATTTCATGACATAAATCATGGAGAAAGATATTTAAGTATTTTTTGTCTCTGCTCATTTTTCTTGGAAATGCTGTTTTTTTTTAATGCGCATGCTTTTATATGTATAAGGAGTTTTATGCAGTGATGTTTACCAAAATGTCACCACTGTTTTTTTCTGAGAATGGGATTTACAGGAAAACACATTCTAACTGCAGTGCCAAATGTGAAGGTCAATGGGCTATGGACTTGAACATATCTGTATCCTGGGCAAGACCATCTGACTTTTCAGACACACCTCCTTCAAGCAGCTTTTACTTTGCTGAGTTCACTACACTCCAGGCTCTAAATCTTAAGTTTGTCTTTAAAAAATATGCACAACTGATGACCTTATGCACAACAGAAATTCATGCATGTGCTCATCAAAAGACATGTGTAAGAGTGGTCAGAGTAGGGCCTCCCCTGGTGGCGCAGCGGTTGAGCGTGGGGCTGCAAAGCTGCCCGCAGCCTCTGCACTGCTGGTTCGATCCCCGGCCACCGGCGAGGGTCCCACATGGTGCGCAGACCTCTCCTGCTGCTCCCCTCAGTAGTGTATTTTGTCAGTCTGCCTGTTCTGTTCTCCGCTCTGGCTCTGGTGAATTCTCTCACCCTCCCATGCTTCTGACTGTACCCAGTGCTTGTATAAATAAACAAACAAACAAACAAACAAATAAATAAATAAATAAATAAATAAATAAATAAATAAATCTTAAAAAAAAAAAGAGTGGTAAGAGTAGTCCTATTCATGATAGGCCCAAACTGAAAATACCCCATATACATCAACAGTAGAATGGATAAAAAACATACAGTATATTCATAAATGGAAATGAATATTATATATGCAATAGTATGGATTAATCTCACAGATGGTAGTAAAAAAACATACAAAATAACATATACTGTGTGAGTCTATTTACACACAATTAAAAAAAAACACAAAAACTAACCTAGGGTATTATAAGTCAGAACAGTGCTTACCCATGGGATGCATTATTGACTAGATGGGGACTTGGGGAGGAAGAGCTCCCAGTGTGCTTTTAATGTCTTGCTTCTTCCTCACTTTGTGAAAATTTATTGAGTTGAACACTTAAGTTTTGTACACTTTTATGTATACATAGTATTTTTCAACAAAAATTTATCAAAAGACCTCACTAGTGATTTAGGTAAATCGGAGATGAATAAGTTAAACCAATACTACTGATGATTGCAGGAGCTGGACAAAATACATATTTTTCTATCCCTGAAGGTACTAGAGGGCTAATAAGATAGCGATGGATACTGATTCAGAATAGGTGTAGTGGGTGTTGAGTTTAATTAGGGCCACTTATCCCAGTGGATCTCATACAGTCATTGAGAAGACTGTTGAAAGGCAATGCAGAATTTTGGACAGCCTCTGGAGACTAGGGAGATAGATATTTGAATTCAATTTTTTTTGAACAGATTTATTTATTTATGCATACAAGAACTGGGGGTACAGGCCAGAGGTGTGTGGGGGGGGGTGATAGGATTCACCAGAGACAGAGCAGGGAGCAGATCAGGCTGACTGACTGAAATGCACTGCTGAGGGGAGCAGCAGGTGAGACAGGAGAGGTCTGCTGCGCCATGTGGGTAGCTCCCTGGCCAGCCTGGGATCTAACGCATGCTGCAGAGGCTGTGGACAGCCTCACAGTGCTGCGCTTAACCCCTTGCACCACCAAGGAGGCCCTGAATTCAAATCTTGCCAAGAGGTGTACCGGGCGAACACCAATGTCTTTAAATTGTGGGCTTTGGGGTTCAGCTATAAGCTCCCTGTTGACCTCAGAGAGAGTAGATTGTAGCTGAATGAAGAAAGAAGAAAATGCTTTGGTTGTGTGCAGATGGGTGGGTCAGGGTAGCCTTGGAGGCAGAGTCAGCATCTCAGAGTAAGAATTAACAAGAGGTAGATGGGCTTTTACAAGGACTTCAGTTTACCTTTGAATGATCTCAATCACTGAAAAATGTATTAAAGTAATCCCAGAGTTAATGCCTTTAAGTGGCTAGCAAATAAAATTCTCTTTGGAAAGAAATAACATCAGCCTCAAATTATTGCTGAAGTTTTGCAAAATACAGTATCTGTCACACAACAGAAAGCAACCAAGTACACAAGAAGAGATAAAATTAAAAAGCCTGAGAAACAACAGATAATAGGAAAAGACCCATTGGGGGGCTCAGATACTAGAGTTATCAGATACAGATTGAAAATAAAGATGCTTATTACGCAAAAGAGATAAAGGACAATATATACAAGTTCTGCAGATAAATGGAAACTATAAAACAATTGAACAAATTCTAGAATTAAAGCTGGAATAATCTAAATTAAGAACAAAATGGACTGTTTTAACACAGATGAAGAGAACATTGTTGAACAGGAAGGTAAGCTGGCAGAAACTATCCAGAATGAATCCCAGAATCACAAAAGGATGAAAATACAATCATGCATTGCTTAACAATGTGGAGTGCATTCTGAGAAATGTGTCCTTAGGCGATTTCATTGTTGTGTGACTTCATAATGCAAATGTCATAGAGTGTAATTACACAAAGCTAGATGGTATATGGCCTATTACAGTCCTAGGCTATATGGTATAGCCTATTGGGACCACGGTCATACATATGGTCCATTGACCGAAGCGTTGTTAAGTGGAGCATAACCATATTAAGAGTGGGTAAGAGACAGAGAATACAGAAAGAAGGTTAACAGATGTGCACTAAAAATTCAGGAGGAGAGGAGAAAATGATTGAGGCAGAAGTAATATCTAAAGAAATAATGATTGAGAATTTTCTGAACTTTCCAAAACACCAAGCCCTTAAAGAAGCCCTTAAAACTTTATCAAAATTAAAAAAAAAAAAAATTCACCTATGTACATTAGAGTAAAACTGCTGAAAACCAAAGACAAAGAAAATATCTAAAAATCAGCCATGAAATAAAAATTTCAGATTATCTTCAAAGGAACAATAATTAGACTTTTCAATAGGAAAAATAGAAGCCAGACAATGGAAGACTATCTTTAAAGTGTTGTAAGAAAATTACTGTCAATTTAAATTTATATTGCCATAGACAATATCCTCCACCTCAAATAGCTGAAATAAAGGCATATATATTTTTACTTGCATAGGTGAAAT